TCAAAAGTTCATCGGGGCCCACCAGGCTCTCAATCTCCGAGATTTCTTTTTTCTTTGTTTTCAAAAATTCTAGGGCCAATTCTTCGTCTGTTTACTTTGTTTCCATGTATTCTAATGGCTTTGGATGGAGTCCAATAGATCGTGGGATGTCTCAAGGTCCGCTTTTCCTTTGTAAAGTAGACTAGTCATAGTTGTATAAATAGCACATGGTGCTCCCATTGATTCATCCAGAACATATTTTGAATTATGCATCCTTATTTTATGAATCTGGTTGATTTCTTTGCTTTTGTGACTATTCAGAACATTAATCTATCTTCATAAATGATAATGAGTTCTAATGGATCCTAGTGGATCCTGATGGATCCTGACGGATCCTAATGGGTCCTGATGGATCCCAGGATCCGCTTTCCCCCCTTGAGTGTGGGTGTGGGTGTGTGGGTGTGGATGTGGATGTGGGTGTGGGTGTGTGGGTGTGGGTGTGGGGTGTGGGGATGTGGGTGTGGGGTTTGGGTGGATGTGAGGTGAATTAAGAACATGACCCACACCCACATCCACACCCACACCCACACCCTCGATTCAGCGGTATGAATAATGACTTGTTGTGTAGATTGACCAATATCTACCGAATATTTATTCAACCAGTTTTGTCCGAGAATACAAAGATGAGACAAAGATTTCGAAATAAAAGCAGAAATAGGTGTTGTGATTTGGCCAATACGAAGATCAAGATGGACAATACCGATGATGTTAATATTAGTATTACCATCAGCTAAAGTAAAACGTTGTTTAATGTTTGTAATTGAAACGTATCGAAGACGACGAACAATGGATGTCTGAATAAACGAATGTGTGGCACCCGTATCAAGAAGACATGGTAAATGAATATCGTGGACATAACTAGAAATAAAAGATAAGGACGATGGTTTGATCATTGATACAGATGTGTCACCATCAAACACCTCTGTTATTGGTTTTTTGTTGATGAGATACAGATGAAGATGATGACATATTATTTCTTTGATAACAATTACGAGCGAAATGTCCCCACTCTCCACAATGATAACATTGGATATCCTTTGTACGTGAATGCTTATTTGACTGTGATGATGGTGTTGAATTTGATGAAGACTGAAGATTTTCATTCGACAAAAATTATTGTGAAGCTCGATCTGAATTGGGAAATGTACGATAATAACAAGAATCAAATGAATCTGGTTGAACATTTGACTGATAGAAATGATGTGAAGAAACTGATGATGGATTTTGATGATGAACGTAAGAAGATGATTCAATCTGTGGACAAGAGCTCGGATCATCATTGTGTTGTTGTCTTGTCGTTGAATCGTTAATCGAAGTTTGACGTAATTCAACCAGCTTCTCTATATTTTCCAGTTGTTGAACTTTGACTAGAAATTCTTTCGGTGTAGAATAATCATCTTTAATCGCTTCTTGATACAATGACAATCGTAATCCTAAAATAAGTTTATGAACTTTTTGTTTATTTGACATAGTCGGATCACATTTATGACATAATTCCATCATATCATAATAATATTTAATAACTGGTTCATGGGATTGTTGTTTACGTTGATTCATTTGTTGTTCCGATATGTATTCATTCTTTTCGCCGAATTGTTCGATGAACATTTGTCTGAAAAGCGACCAATCACTAATAAAAGATTTATTTTCTGTCCACCATCGATATGCATATGTTTTTAAAAATGCTGGAGCATATTGAAAACATAACTCATCCTTATTACCGGGTAGACGAAGGATATCAAAAAAATGATTAATACTAGCGAGCCATTTAGACGCATCATCGTCAGGATTACCGAAAAATCGTTTGATAAAATCTTTCATTTGTTGAACGAAAATGAAAATAAAGAGTAGAAACGCATCGTAGTCTGCTTAGACCCACCACTGCTTTACGGATATCTATCCTTAGATCTTATCGCCTCTTTGGTTCACGTTCTAAATGTTATACATCGTACAATTTGTTTGCGATCATCTTCTCGATGGTCTAAAACAATTGTTTAGTTAAGAACTACCTGATGAGACCCTTAAGCAAGGTCGAAATCGCGATCACAGTGTGCTTCTTCACTCACTCTCACACCCACCCCACGCTGCTACATATCGATTTTGAAGTTCTCATATATTGATAGGATTTGTTAAATTTTGTTCAATACTCAGAGAATAAAAGCACGTTATTTCTGAAAGAGCAAATAATGAAATTGTCAATTTAATGATTACAATATCTGGATCAACTCATTTTTGTCTTCATCAATGAAAAGTAGTAACATGTTTTCCATGCATTGTTTCAAGAAAGTTAGAAAATGTGTCATAAAGCATTAAATGACAATGATCCATAGCAAACACACAACTGAGACAACCGATATTGTCAACAGCATTACGAAATATAATAAAACGATCATGAAATGAGAATTTAGATGGATCTTCATTAGAATAAGGGTGGGTGAGAGTGTGGGTAGTCTGTTTATCTCAAACTTAGATCTTCACCCACACTCTAGGCCCATCTATATCGTCCTTATCATTATCAGTAGAATCACTCGATTCAGTCGGTTTGATTTTCATGTCAATTGATTCCTCTGCCGATTTCATCATCTAAAATATGGCATGATGCAAGACATTTCTTTTTCAATCTCCATTTTTCTTACTTCTGTCAATCCTACTTGACATCATATACATGACATACAGAATGAAAAAGAGATATTTTTCGTTGTCATTTTCTTAAGCTCAGTTTTGCCACGTGTCACCATTTCAAGTAATGTGACGCAATTACATGACGACATGTTTTAAATGAAATGTGTACATATAAAGAAAATAACATTTTTTCTTATTATTTCACATTTTCTAATAGTATTCGTTTGTATTGTATTCTTGTTGAAATTTTAATTGACATTCATGAGTAAGGAAAAAATATATATTAATGTTGCCTTTCTGGGTCATGTCGATTCGGGTAAGTCCACTACAGCTGGACATTTGATCTACAAATGTGGTGATCTTGACAAACGAACTATCGAGAAATTCGAAAGAGAAGCTGCTGAGGTATAAATTCTCTCAGTATTTTAATATTATCTATCTAATATTATATTGTATACAATTGACAGATAGGAAAGAGTTCATCAAAATATGCTTGGTTCATGGATAGATTCAAGAACGAATCTTGCCGGGGACTGGGTACTCTTATCCGTCCCCTAACTGATCGGTTCGAGACCAGTACATATCATGTCATTATCACTGATTCGTCTGGTCATCGAAATTTTATGAAGAACATGATTACAGGTAGTTCACAGGTGTGTATTTCTTTCGTTTTCTCTTATTCGACATAACTGTACAAATATGATTTTTCTGTCAGGCTGATTATGCACTGCTAGTAGTATCAGCTAGTTCGAATGAATTCGAAGTTGATGTATCGAAGGAAGGTCAAACACTTGAGCATGCTCGATTGGCATACACTTTAGGTATTAAACAAATGATCATTATTGTCAATAAGATGGATGCAACAGAGCCACCCTTTTCCGAAACACGTTTCAATCAAATCAAAAGTGAACTATCATCTTATTTACTGAATATTGGTTATCAACCAGAAACTGTACCTTTTATTCCACTATCAGCATTGCATGGTGATAATGTTATTGAAGCATCAGAACATATGCCTTGGTATCAAGGTTGGTCAATTGATCGTAAAGATGGTACTGTTACAGGTAAAATACTGCTAGAAGCAATTGATGCTGTTATTCCTTCACAATGTCTTGTTGAAAAATCACTTCGATTACCAATCCAAGATGTCTACAAAATTTCTGGTGTTGGTGCAGTATCTGTAGGTCGCGTTGAAACTGGATTGCTCAAACCGGATATGACGATAAGTATTGCTCCAGTGAACTTAATAGCAGTAGTCAAATCGATTGAAATGCATCATGAGATTCTTGATGGTAAAAAACATTGACTTTGTTCGTTGAAGTACTCAACATTCTTCTGTTTTTCTTTGTAGAAGCTCGTCCTGGTGACAGTATTGGTTTTAGCGTTCGAGGTGTTAGTTTTCGGGAACTTCGACGTGGATTTGTCTGTTCAGATGCAAAAAATGATCCGGCACAAGAAGCTGCAAGTTTTACTGCTCAAGTAAATTTAATCTTTTTGTCTATCTTTGTCTAAAATGTTTCAATGCCTATGGAATTTGTTTTTAGATTATCGTCCTTTACCATCCTAATCAAATCTGCCAAGGTTATACACCGGTGATTGATTGTCATACTGCTCATGTTGCATGTACAGTTGTTGAATTAATCTCACAGATTTGTCGTCGAACCGGTAAAGTTATTGAAGAAGCTCCAAAATGCCTCAAAGCATGTCAATCTGGTATTATTAAACTGATTCCAACAAAACCAATATGTGTTGAAAAATTTGCTGATTATCCAGCATTGGGTCGTTTTGCGATTCGTGATATGAATCATGCAGTAGCTGTTGGCATTATTATAGACGTTGAAAAGAGAACATCTCTTCCTAGCCAAGCGATCGTAAGAACAAGTTCTGTCCCCGCTAAAGAAGATAAAAAATAGGATGAGGAGTACTTTCGTAAACATCCATCACAACGACATCAGACATTCGAACAAGTTAATACACAAATAGATACATTTTATTATATTGTGTGTCTATTCTTAGAGACTCATTGGGAACGACGAAGAAAACGAAAAGATTTTTATTCTTGGCAAATTTTTTGCTTTTTTCAAAACTTGTCTCAAAGTTATAATCTCTTTACTTGTTTAGAATTAATTGTAATCATACGACTTTTTTATGTTTCCAAAATATTTTTCATTTCAATTGTTTTCATACAACTGTTAAAGAAAAAAGATCGAGTTAAAAAGAAGAAACAAATATATGAACTTCAGAAAAAAAACACATTAGAGAAATATTTTCTTTTTCTGCGTAGACAAGCGTTATAATTACATTAAAATATGCCGGGTGCAGATGAATAGGCAAAAGGAACAGTGATAACCACACCTTTGATTTATAATTGAGAATATATTAAATTAAATATATTTTGATAAGAATAAAACATATTCTCTGTATATTATCTTATATTTTATCAATGTGAAATAGTCACCTATGTGTCTTGTGTTTATTTCTTAACTCGGAGAGAATACATGTGAGTAGACAAGGTTTTTGTATAGGTAAAAAAAAGATCAGTATAAAAGATATTATATTCGTCGGAAGATTTATAAGTTCTTTGATTTTCTGCAATATTTCTTTGAAAAACATGAACAAAAGTTTTTTTTTTTTTATTCATGTTTACGCAAATTCTATATTTTGATGTTCTAATTAGAATTATTATTAATAAATTATCCAAGTCATTATCTTTGTCGTTTTTCTTATGTCTTGACACTTTTTTCGTTAGACATGCATCTAGTGTCAGTCGAATGCTATTGGTACATCCTTTTTTTCGTCTATCTGATATAATGCACAATTACAATATAAAATAAAATCTACTCATAACAGTGAATATTATGGCACTGCGTCATAAATGAGCAGATTATTAATTGTCACACATAACATGAGAATAGCCGAGATACTCTATACAATTTAATTAATAGACAGATAGAGACATATAAGTGATTTTTCGTTTCAAGAATCTTGAGGGTGTGAGGGTGAGACAAGCTGCCATGACATATGTTTCAACCTGTTGAATTTGATTGTTTGATATTTGGTATATTGTGACCGAATTCGATCTGTTAGATGTTGTGTTGAAAAGAAGTTTGTATCTAAAATGAATGGAACAGTGGAAAATGTTTTTCAAAACTATGAGACGGAAAAGGATGGAATTTTTTTATTTTTCACTGATATGAAGTAAATAGTATGAGAAAATGTTTTAAGTATAGTGTAACATTTTATGTAGGGCAGATGAGAAAAATCGATGAAAGCTTTGGAATATGGTGTTTTAGATGTATGTGTATTCAAGTTTTAAGAGGTTATAATTCGTATAGAGATGATTGAATTGGATTGGCATAATTGGTTGAAACATTGTTCTTGGATGCTGTGCTTTGTGGTTTTGGTCTTTCTATAAATTGAGGGAGGAATTATTAAAATATCTGCTGAATAAAATATATTGGTATTTGTTAAAGTACTTACTCGTTGTCGATTTATTTGTTAATATTGATAATTTAGGTCGTTTACTTATCAGTTCCTTGCATGCATCACGACGGTTTCGATTGCCAACAATTAGCTTAACATCGGATACTGGAGTGATTTGAAACACATTTTCATAAACTTGATGCATATCTCGTTTAACATCATGAAGTCTTTTTTCATGTGTGTAATGAATAATTAATTTGTCCTCATAAGGCTTTTGGTTTTGTTCTGTGTTGATTTTTGGTTCTTTTGGTTCCTTCTTTTCTTCATCGTTTTGTTCGTTGTCGATATTAGCTGTAGCAGCACTCATTGCTACTTGTGATTGTCGAGATGTTGGTTGGCTCAAAATTTTAGTACGGTAAGTAAAAAATTGTTTTTCATTATCAATAAACGGTAAGAATGACGACGAAGTTATATATTAATGAAAACATTTTCGAAATTCATTCTCAATAAATGATGATGGATAGCTAAAGAAGATTTTATGGTTGGAAATTATAATTATTTTGTTTAGATGACCACAACGTACCCATTATTTAATAAAGTTAGTTTAATGTAGCGTCGTTCCGTATGGAATGCTTCAAATGTGGATGAATATCTTACAGCTCGTGGAAGAGCTGTTTGTACAGCATTTCTGAACGTATGTCGAGGATGATCAGATATAAATGGTGCAACATAAGTTTCAGCAGCTGGTTTATGATATACAGATGTTGATAGAATATCATTGTTGTTTGTAAGAAGAACATCAAGAAATGGAAGACTTTTACTAATTTTATAATATAATTTAATATTTGGATGCCATGGTTTGCGTCCTCTAATAGTTTTATTAATTCTTTTTCAGATTTATTCCATGTCATAAAAACGTCATCGATATAATAAAGATTGTTATCGAAAAACTTTTTCTTTTTTTTGATATGTAATGTTCTATTTGTATTACACTTACCAGCCATAAAATTCACCTGACATATCTTGTCGACGAACGTATTCTTTTTGCCATTTCCACATAAAAATATTGGCTAGTGTTAATGTAAAAGAGGAACTCATAGCACCACCAAGAATTTTTTTATAGATTTTTTTATCATAGGCAAAAACATTTTCTTGTAGTACAGTTTAAGCTAATTCTCTTATTGTTTGAAGATCAATTTCTTTGACTTTCGTATATCCATGTACTTCAAGAAATTCAACAAATATTTTAAGGGATTCATCTTGTGGTAACATTGTATATAAAGTATGAATATCAAACGTAGAAAAAAGAGTCGACGGTTTCAAAAGACCTTTTTGTATATATTTGTTAAGTTCTCTAATTAAAGAAGCATTATCAATGATAGTTGTTGTACTACATTTGTCATCAAACACAGGTCGTATGGTATGATCTAAAAATTTTGAAAGGACGGGGGGCGTTAATCGATGAACTCGGCCCCCTCCCCAAAGTGCGTATTTTGCATCAGAAATTATCAATATTGATGTCAGAAGTGTATTACCGTTCCAACTACACAGTTACGGTGCATCTGAGTTATGCACGGGCAGACCGAAAGGCTGTTACTTTGGGTGTAGGTGTGGGTGTGGGTGGGTGTGGATG